CCTTTTTTTAATGGTTCTTTATAAAAACCTTAGGCTCTAACAAGAGAATTGAGAACTACTGACTTTGTCAACCATTCTTAATTGAAAAAAAGGCTACACACATCACAAAACACTGTCACTGTCCATAGTCATAGAGTAACACAACAGGTTAGATAAACTGGAATGACACTCTCACTCATGGTTGCAAAACAGAGCTGTGTACAAACCACGCCCCAAAATATTCTAATGAGCCACTGTCCCCACATTTTAATTATCACTAAAAGATGAAATAACCCTTTTCTGAACTGCAAAGAACCATTGAAGGGCTCAAAGGGTTCCTTGGATCAGTATGGTTCTACATAGAACTATCATCACCTTTCCCTAAGAACCCTTGAGGAACCCTCATTATTTGGTGTGTAGCCAGCTTTGATGACCATACCATCCCAGAGAGCAGGCACCCTGCCAGGATGAGTGCCATAGGGCATCAGGCATCAGTGTGGCCCTTATCACTGTCAGGGGCCCCTGTCAGTGGCCCTATCATTGACTCCAGGTGACAAATAAGCATTATGACAGGTGATGATACTTGCGGTGACACACAGCAACTAAACCACACTCCCATGGCAATCCCATAAAATCGTAAGCAATTAATGGTCCTTGACTTGATTAAATGGAGTTAATGACTTTGAATCCATGAGTGAACGCATGAATATCCTAACTGCTTGAAATGCATTTGTAACATAACATACCGGTGTGTAAAGGAAAAGGAAGATAATATTACAATCCCAAAATAGAGGGCTAGATAGCTCACTTTATGTAAAAATGCTATTGAGGAGGTTTGGAGCTTAGCCAATGTAATTAGCACATGGGGGAAATATGGGTGCATGGACTGTGGCTATTAAGAAAATATTGTAAATGTAGCTATAGCCTTACTATAGTTTCACATACGTCTAAACAAGATAGATAATTTGAAGCCTGTCATTTGCCAAATATATAGACTGCCATTTCAGCATTAGTTTTCCAAATATGACTTATCCAAGCCAAGGTCAGTATGGACATAAACTCGAAACTTGAAAGCAACAAACCAAGAAGCAATCAAGAGTAGTGCTTACTGTGTAATTTGGGTCTGGCTTTGCGGTCACTGGGATGAAGCTGGTCCGCGAACTGCACCCGATGTCCCGACATGTTCGATAGGCTGCCTCTCAAGTCAAGGGGCACGTTGCACCACCACCGTCGCTCAGTCGCAGTTTGTTTCAAAGTATTCTACAACTTCCACCGATATGGTTATTTCGCATTGTTGACCGTATCTTGCAACTCTTGCTCGTAGGACGCGCATACAGCTCAAATATAAGATATAGTTCAGATTGTCTGTCATTCAGTTTTGCCTTTCGTCACTCTATTCCATTTGCAGGCAGCAGATGCCAATACTGCAGCAGTAGCGGTCGAGGCAGCCTGTGCTCCGGAAACAGCGTCTCTGCTTTTAGTAGCGCGCTCACCTGACTGACTAACTAACTGCCCGCTGGTCCATTATAGCAAATAGAGCGGGAGAGTCACCGGCTAGTATTTAACCTTTATTTAACTTGGCAAGTCAGTTAAGAACAAATTCTTATTTACGGCCTACACCGGCCAAACCCGGACGACGGTGGGCCAATTGTGCGCTGACCTATGGGACTCCCAATCACGGCCGGTTGTGTTACAGCCTTTACTCGAACCAGGGGGTCTGTAGTGACGCCTCAAGCACTGAGATGCAGTGGCCTTAGACCGCTGCGCCACTCCGGAGCAGCGGTTTAAAAGTATGTAGGCAGAGAGGAAGAGCTTTTGTGCATTAAAAAACGTTGGTATCCACATGACTGCAGAATTACATCATAACAGTTTACAGCCCCTGTTCTTATTCTTTTAGAGTCAGGGGAAATAAAACATGTGGCCATAAAATAGACAAATATATATACAAAGTCAAACCAGACTGTATATGTTTATAGAAAAACGTAAGCTAAAATAAATGTATTACAATAGCAAAAATAGCCTACAGACATTGTAGGCAGACGTGGGGAAAAGTAGGCACAAGGTAACTTAACCAAGACGTTCATAATGGGGACGACTGTGACCGTTATCTGCAGGGGGTTTCCTGACTTTGGGGGTTAAGGCTACCTAAAGCAAACGTTCCTTTGGACCTAACAGTTAGGCCTACTGTTTGTGTATTGATGCTATGTGTAGGCTACTGTATCTAAGGATAATTCGATTTTATACTGTGCAATGTTTCAATCAACCCTGTGAAACAAATCAATTGAGGGGTCTAATACGCCATCTAATGGTTGTGCGTGGGAATAAAGCAAACTATAAAACCAGCCACTTTTATTGTCACTTCTGGAGGTAGAAACAGCCGAGGTCACCCCTATTCCATGTCTAGATTGTGTGTGTGTGTGTGTGTGTGTGTGTGCACGCCCATGCACATGCACTGGGATTAAAATAATGTAAATAAAACAGAGTAAAATTAGTCAATAGAACACCAAATGTGTTATTTCAAAACAATTTTTTATGTTTGCACTCCAACACATTACAAAGGCCTAAAGCTGAACAACACAGTAACTTAACACTTATAACTTAAAACCAAATAAATATTTTCCAGAGGAGTAGACCTAAGTGCACACTGTAAAAAAGTGGAACGACATTGTTGTTAATCCAAAGTGCTTTTTCTGATTGGTATGATCCAAAATTATGCTTTGGTTCATTCAACCTATTCTAATAAACTTATCTGAAATCAAGTAACGAATTTGACAGATCAATATGATTTTTTAAATTGAATGAAAGCTTCTAAATTGCTTTCAACACCTCATGTGCATAGCAGTTGGTGCAATGTAGTGGTGGCTGCCTATCAGAAGAGATGGAGTCGTGGCTTTCAGTTGTTGTTTTTTGGCCACCTGTGAGAGTGAATGTCATTCCAGGTAATGTGTTATTTTATTTGTAATTATATTTACACTGCAATACTAAAGAGGCTGGCACAGTTTCCATTGATTCGATTTTTTATACCTTTATTTAACTAGGCAAGTCAGTTAAGAACAAATTCTTATTTACAATGACGGCCTACACCAGCCAAACCTGGGCAAATTATGCGCCACCCTATGGGACTCCTAATCACGGCCGGTTGTGATACAGCCTGGAATCAAACCAGGGGGTCTGTAGTGACGCCTCAAGCACTGAGATGCAGTGCCTTACACCGCTGAGCCGATCGGGAGCCCATGGTCACCATTTGGTTACAATATTGTAACCAGTTAATGTGAAAGTCTTCTTTAAAGAAAGTGTTTGGAGTCATTATTTTATGCCATGGAACCAACTTAATAGCTTGATTAAGAGGATTTTATTTATTTATTGTTTGTATCCAATTGAAGACATTTGGATAGGTAAGTCCAATGTGAAAATTCAACTTGGTACAATATGAAAAATGGGTTGTATATAGTTTGTATTTATAGTATTGATTATGTTTAACTAAAGGGGAAAAGTAAGTTGAGTGTTGAAAGAAATAGGTTACAACTTGAAATATTGGTTTGTTAATAATCAAATATAACTGTTGGCATTGAATCATAAAAAAAATATAAACTCAACATGCAACAATTTCAAAGATTTTACTGAGTTACAGTTCATAGAAGGAAATCAGTCAATTGAAATAAATTAAATAGGCCCTAATCTATGGATTTCACATGACTGGGCAGGGGGGCCGCCATGGGTGGTCCTGGGACGGCATAGACCCACCCACTTGGGAGCCAGGCCTAGCCAATCAGAATGAGTTTTTCCACACAAAAGGGCTTTATTGCAGACATAAATACTCCTCAGCACACCCCCTCCTCAGACGATACCGCAGGTGAAGAAGCCGGATGTGGAGGTCCTGGGCTGGCGTGGTTACACGTGGTCTGCGGTTGTGAGGCTGTTTGGAAGTACTGCCAAATTCTCTAAAATTACGTTGGAGGTGGCTTATGGTAGAGAAATTAACATTAAATTATCTGGCAACAGCTCTGTTGGGACATTCCTGCTGTCAGCATGCCAATTCCACACTGCACATTTTAGAGTGGCCTTTTGCGCCTCGATCACACCAACAGCGTCATTGCATTTTGGTACACCAGAAGTACATTAATTTCAAATGGAACGCTGTGTTTGCCTTGCAGCATTGCGTTGCAAAGGTAGTTGCATTGCGTTCTGTGTGGTGCATACGTTGGATTTCTCGAACGTATGCGTAAAACTGTATGTGTAGACGGCTTGACAAAAATTGTAGCAGAAGGTGAATGATGAACTTTGATGATGTTGAGTAATATTTTGCACAATGACATTGTCGGTGTGATCAAGGCGTTATTGTCCCCACGCTCCCTCAAACCTTGAGACATTTGTGGCATTGTGTTACAAAACCGCACATTTTAGTGGCCTTTTATTGTCCCCAGCACAAGGTGCACCTGTGTAATAACCATGCTGTTTAATCAGCTTCTTGATATGCCATATCTGTCAGGTGGATGGATTATCTTGGCAAAAGAGAAATGCTCACTAACAGGGATGTAAACAATTTTTTTCACAAAATTTGAGAGAAATAAGCTTTTTGTGCGTATGTACATTTCTGGGATATTTTATTTCAGTATATATTTAGTATCAACAAATGTCTTGTTGTTTTTTTGTTGAGAAAACATCAATCATTTAACCAGTTGACACCATTTTTTGGGGGGGGTTGATCCAGAGAATTCCAACCCATTCACTTCAAACATAACACATCAAGGTATGGGAAATAATACAAGCTCCTTCAAGCCTCACTTGGAACTAACATTTTGCCGTTAAGTCTATTTACAACACAAAATATAAATATAACATGTGCACTGCACTTCAATTCGGCTACAATACAAAACGTAGAAAATGTCATTAAGGCAATGTTGAAGTCACACACACAGAGAATCAAAGTGCAATCGGTTTGAAGAGAGAGAGAGAGAGAGAGAGAGAGAGAGAGAGAGGCTGACTAATATTTGAATGCAGCAATTGAATAACTATTGGTTTCAAATGTGACCGTTTTGTTCGATGTACATTTTAGACAGTGATGCAGCCATCGACTTGGCCAGCTCTTCGTCCCGTTTCCTTTGCATCTGAGAGTGACGGAACCACTCGTCATACTCTGGGTTGGACACACACCTGTCCAGCAAGACATCATAGTGTCCGTTGCTTAGCCAACTCAACCAGACAGCGGGTTTGGATGCATCCTGTTCCCCCAGGTAGTGCACCATGGTTGAAACCGTGGGACTCTCCAAGCTACCTCCTGTGGTTAGGTAAATGTTCACATTCAACATCTGACTCATCGCCAGAAGCTCCGGATAACCCGCCCAGGCGCCGTCCTGCGCTGCGTTGATCAAGAACTCCCCGACATCCCCCTCAATGATGGGGTTAAACTCATCCAGGTGGTCGGCTATGTGGTGCATTGTTTGCTCTCTCAGCTCATTGTGCATAGACTGCTCTCCATAGGCGGCTTTACACACCGCCCTGTACAGACAGTTGCCGTCAGGGATGATGTGGAATCTGTACTTGTGTGCCCTCTCCTGAAGGTACTTGTTCTGTTTCTCCACCTCCGCTATGTAGCACGTCACCTTCTCGTTGATGTCACCCCTTTTTGCATTTCTTCGCGGAGATGGCTCCCGTAGGACACCGAGCTTAAAGACCTGCGCCTCGCCTGATGGAGAGTACAGGTCTGAGTATTCACTGTCATTTCTACTCTCACAGGAATCCAATATATCCTGACCTAAATGGGTCGACGGTGCCTCTAAGTTCTGATGGTGTTTTGGGTTCACAATGTCACTTGTAATGGGGGTTCCCTTTCCATTTGCCATGTTAATTCTCTCCTCGCACTTTCTGTAACTTGGTCCATCGTTCTTGTCAATATTTATCAGGTTATTTTCACGTTCCACGTTTTGACTATCATTGAGTAGATCCCCTCTACCTCTCAAGTGATCAATGAAGTCCACAATCAAGTCTGTGTCCAAATGATCATCTCGGTCACGCGCCTGAATCACGACATCTTGTGAATTTGATTCCGAAGGAGACCGTTTTGTCTGGGTCTCCTTTATGATGTGCACTGGTACGTATCTCTCCACTCCGTCAGGCCGACGAATGATTATCTCTGCGGTAGATGTGTAGTAGACTGGCTTCATGGAAGCAGCCTCGTAACATGAAAAAGCAGCAGGCATGTTTGCGGTAGATTGAGTCTCTCCTACCAGATTCCCGTTAGTCACTGCTGGAGTAGGCCCACTCGGTGTATTATTCGCAGAGGAGCTCGTTCTTGTCCTGGACAAATGGTCAGTAATGGTACCACTTGTGATAGTTATCGAAACTTTGCGAGAGGATCCGGGATAGTGTGTCAACGCACTGCTGTACAACTGCATTTTGGAAGACTCGCCTTTATACAAAACGCTAGAGCCCCAAGTGTTACGGAAAGATGACAACAAAGGCTAAAAATACACCCTGTCATCAATAACAGCTAAGTTGTAGGATACGTTTCCATGGATCCAGTGTCTTGTTCCCCTTGTCACACATAGGGACCGAGTTTAGCCATCTTGCGTCAGCGCAGTCTCCCTAATTTTAGACCTGAAAAGTGTAACCGGACACTCTCCGCTTCGTCTCCCCTCATAGCCAACTGTTGAAGTAGTTGTACGTAGAGCAGTAATGACCACAGCGAGGGAATTAAAAGGTTTTGATGTGTCACAGTACACTCTCGGAAGTTCTCTCGTTCCAGTCGGCGGAGTCAGGGCGGCGTCGCCACTCTGGAATGCACAAAGCGTGCCAAAAGCTACATCACTGTTAAGCGCATGGATATGCGCAAAAATGACTCACAACCCCCATTACTTCTTGAGAGTAAAGCGAGGTCCCGTCCTTAAAAGGATTGTCTTGCCATTTTATTCAGTACAGCCTAATGTATTTAATATCCATGAGCTTTTTAGTGGTTATTTGCCAATGTAGGCTACTGTGCTTAAAAACTTCAGTCAATATTTATTTGTGTCTGTTTACAGTATGGGAAATACAGTATGTGAAAATATATGTTCGATTATCTGTTATGACACTATTATAACACAATGTCGTGCACAATCTATCATCTTTCATCAATATGCGGATGACACACTATGTGGATATAGATCCCTAAAACCTAGATTAAACCACATTACACATGGTCTTGAAATAGACATGCATCATTTCACAGAGATGTCATTGGTAGATCTCCATTTCAACCAGCTAACAAGTGTCATTGCATGTCAACTAGGGTGGCAGGTAGCTTAGTGGTTAAGAGCGTTGTGCCAGTAACCGAAAGGTCGCTGGTTCTAATCCCCGAGCCGACTAGGTGAAACATCTGTTGATGTGCCCTTGAGCAAGGCACTTAACCGTAAGTCGCTCTGGATAAGAGCGTCTGCTAAATGACTAATTATTAACTAAAGGGAAAGCTTGTAAATGAGCCATTTGATATGTATAAATAGGTGGACCAAACTTTCCTGTTAGGCTTTTGCTGATTCAATGGCATGTGTAGTTTTGAGGTAACCTGTTCCCAGATATTTTTATGCTCTTTCCTACTCCATTGTTGCTGTCAAGTGAAAAATGTTTGGCATGACAATGAATTAAAGGAGTTGACATGATAGCGCAAACTTACTGGCACTCATGCTAGTTTTGAGGCCTTGTTGGCTATTTTTTAAGTTACAATGTTAATGTATTGTTTCAAACCCCTAAAGCAGGGCTATGCAAAATATACAATATGAATGTATTTTCTGTAGGCCTATATGTCTACTGGGCAGAAAAGCTTATTAGCATGCATCACTTGCATCCAATTTAGTATTTGGTATGTTGTTAATTTAGAAAAACACATAATATTATGAATTAACTGAGAATAAATAATATTCAGCGTTACGTTTTTCGAAATTAACATCATACCAAATGAAATTGTCACTGTATATTATCAGAGATACTGTATATAATCACGAGATGGTCTTGTCTCTGCCCTAACAATGGGAGTAGTTGTCCCAAAGGCGGGAAGCAGACTGATGTTCCCGCATGGACAGATTTTGACGGGAGTGGACCCTCTCGATTCGCCTCTTCCTTTCTGATAATATTCAAACGAAAAGTGCAATGTATAGTTATCGCCAGCAGAGAGAAGCCCTGTACTTTATCTGTGCTTTCACGATGACGTCATCATGTACACAGTATTCTGGTAAGTACCGCGTTTTATACCATAGGGGGCGGTATGGGTCCTCACGTGGCCAGTGGACACCATGTAGTCCTATCAGACCCATAACTACAGAAAGAAAAGCAACATAGTAACAGATTGTGTTGAATAGGAATAGGGGTGATCCCTTTTCACTGTGTTGCTTTCCATAGCCCCTCCGCAAGAGCCTAATATGCCTACAGAGTATATTGGTTCCTGGATAATCAATTATTATCAAACGTAGGCTAGCTATATGCTTTAACATATCCACGCTTGAGGTAGAATTAGGTAATATTTGGTTGAGACATTGATCAATGAGATTTCAACCTTTATTCACACACTCAAAAAGAGAGCCAGAAGTTTGTTGAATTCTCAATGTGTTATCACTGATTTCAACCATCTAAAAGCACAAACAAATTCCAATGGAAAACAATGTCTGATTTTTGGTTTAGTTGTCATTTAAATGTGTTATCACTGCAATTTCAATCATTTATAAGCACAGCAAAGTTCAAATGGGAATACAATGTCAGATATTTAGTATTTTTATAACAACTTAAAGCGACAATATGTAACTTTTTGGACAACCCGAACAATTTCACATAGAAATGTGAGTTATAGATCTGTCGTTCTCATTGAAAGCAAGTTTAAGAATGCTTCCCATTCTTAAGTTTTGTTTTTGCTTCTTTTACTTTCGGTTTTGTACACCAGCTTCAAACCACTGAAAATACAATATTTTTGGTAACTGAAAATATATTTCACAGCGAGTTAGATGGTACAATGTTTCTCTACACATTGGTTGTTTTGTCAAATAAACTGAAATTAGGCAAACTATTAGAATTTTAGCAACCAGTAAATGGCAAGGCGATTTCTGCATATTGCACCTTTAATGTGTTTTCACTGTGCTTTATCTATTAGCACAACCAAATGACCTGGATTGCAGTTGAGATTACATTAAACGTACATAGTGCAAGTGATCAATGCTGTTTAAGATTCTGTGCAGATTATTATAGCATTTGTGAAGATCTCCACAGACCTGCGACCTTTGCATGCTATCTTGAACATGCACGCTTTCTATGATTACATAAGAAGACATTTATAGTTACAGTAATCTCAAAATGTATCCATGGATCTGTTCCTCATTTTAAGGTTGAATAAATACTGTTACATTTGTTTGTAAGATAGCCTTAACTTTACACTATTAACTGTATTACAAAAGTAATATTAAATTGTGTTTGATTATCAACACAAATATCAACATTTGAAGGAGATGTATCTTTTTTGCCACTGACTTAGTCTGGCTTTAATTCCAGTTTGTCTACAAATTATTAATTGCTATGTTGGACTCATGTCTCCATCACAACCAAAATTCTAACTTAAAGAATAAGACTAAATCAGATCAAACTTTATTTAAAGTGCATTTAAAGTTTGATTTGATTTTGTCCTATTCTTTAACTTTGATTTTTGGTTGAGATGGCGATGTGAATCCAACATATCAGTTATTAGTTTGTAGACAATGTGGAATCAAAGCCAGACTAAGTCAGTGGCACAGATGGAACTATCCTAGCAGAAGATACATGATAACCAAATATAATTCAATATACAGTTTGTCTACAAATTAATAATTGATATGTTGGATTCACGTCTCCATCTCAACCAAAAATAATAGTTATAGAATAGGATTAAATCAAATCAAACTTTAAATGCATAAAGTTTGATTTAGTCATATTATTTAACATAGATTTTTGGTTGAGATGGAGACGTGAACCCAACATATGAATGATTAAGTTCTAGATTACATTTGAAATAACCAAAGCTTGAAACCCTAGGCCTATATGTACTGTCTATTTTTTTTTTACCCTGGGTTGAATTGAAACAATAGCTGTTGATGATTTTGCAAATGTTATATAGGCCAAAATAGTATCAGTGATGACATACTGTATGACTTATAAAGCATGGTTACATTTCATTTGCTTTCTTAAACCTACCTTTTGGAATGATTTCGATAGCAACAGTGAATGTATTTAGTTATTATGTGGAGATCTCTCAATAATCATTCTCGCGATAGCGCATTGGTAGTAGTCAGTGACAAATATCAAAGCTTGGTTAAAACCCTGGATGGGAGACCAAAGGGAGAGCTGTAGATAGATAATCTCTCCAGAAGGAGGTGATATCCAGCCTATAGTTTTTTTCTGAGAGTGGATATAATGTTGAACATCTGACGTTGTTTCAAAGGTACAAATTCAACATATTTTATACAAGGTTTGTCTATGTTGAAAATTGGTTACCATGATGACATAATCCTGTGGTTGAACTTTCACCCTCAAAACAACAGTTTAAGTTGATGACTTTTATTAAATCCAATGTATTTTCCACATAGATTCCATGTCACACAAAATATGTTGACAAATTAAACCAGTTTGTGCCCAGTGGGCTACTACTGGAAATGCAGCAAAACATGTATTGATTTATTTAGGCAATCACTCTCAAATTGTATTCAAATAGATCAATGCATGTGTAAAATCACTGACAGTCCTTACGGCAGACATTAGATATTAGCCTATCCCTGTTGGCAAATTGACAACCATCACATTTGTTGCATAATGCATTAGCTAATGAAATAATTAATATGCTAATAGGGCTCTGCAATTGATGAAAACATGGACACAGAAATTGATAAAGGAATAGGCTAGTCAATGAGAGGAGCCGCGTACGAAATACTGATGAGAAGTAGCCTAGCCATGCTGCGGTTGTTGTTTTGAACATGGTGCACTAAAACTGCTGCAAGATCTGCAATGCCCTAGCTTCCATACCTACAGCTAAGCATTTCAGTTATAAGCCTACATTTGTAACATAAAAGTAGAATATATTCTTTCGGTTGTTCGGTGAGATTGTGTTCATGTCAATGCAAAAGTTGATTTATTTATGCAATCACTCTCAAATGCTATTTAAATAGATCAATGCATGCATAAAATCACTGACAGTCCTTATGGCTGACATTGGATATTAGCCTATCCCTGTTGACAAATTGCCAAGCATCACATTTGTTGCATAATGCATTAGCTAATAAAATAATTAATATGCTAATAGGGCTCTGCTATTTATGAAAACATGGACACAGAAATTGATAAAGGAATAGGCTAGCCAATTAGAGAAGCCGCGTACGAAATACTGATGAGAAGTAGCCTAGCCATGCTGCGGTTGTTGTTTTGAACATGGTGCACTAAAACTGCTGCAAGCTCTGCAATGCCCTTAGCTTCCATTCCTACAGCTACGCATTTCAATTATAAGCCTATAATATTCTAGCGGTTGTTTGGTAAGATTGTGTATAGCCATTGCAAAAGCAATGCTGATGTCAGAGATTTTTGCTCTTCCCTCTAAAGTGGGAGGATCTTTGTGCGTTGAGTCACGCAGCTGTCAAAGATAGCTGTCACCCAGTTTCATGATCAAACACACATTGAATGAGAAAGGCTTCGCCAAGTCGAGCAACGGACTTCAGGTAGCATACCCCTGGCATAAGTAGCCTATTGCGTCTCAAACAAATTAAAAAGACGACGAACGGTTCTATGACCGAAAATAAATCAATGAACGAAGCCGTTTAACCATTTGGAGTATACGTGTGGAATATCCTGAGAAAAAGATCTGCCACTAAACGAATAACGTTACAATTCGAGAAAAAATACTGCGCTCCTCTCGTGACCAACGTGAAAAGGAGATTTCTAACGGACATGAAGACAAAAAAGGGTAGGTCGCCTTTTTCATCCGAGTGCTGATTGTCACAATTTCGATAACATGCGTGTATCAGAAAATATATTGAGGAAGATCGCGCGTAATGCATTTCTCAATGCAAGTAACGCAGCCTATTGTTTGCTCCAGTCAAAACAGCCCCCTCCCGTGCAGGCGGGCTGTCAAAATTGATTGTTTTGCGTATATGCCTTTTGATTCAAACCCTTTCAAATGCAAGGAATTGTTAGCTTTAAAGGTTGACAAGTTAAACGCATCGAGTAAATATCATAACCATTTTGTTATACAATAGTGTTAGATACTTTAACTTTATAGCAACTCTGAAAACTTAGTTCATGATGAACAAGTTTCCAATTACTAGCTAATTCCTTTAGGGTACATCTAGATGGGTTGACTAAATTAGAGGGCATCTCTAAACCCTTACGTCACTATGCATTTAGGTAATTAAAAGGTATCAAATCTGTAGCCCCAACGACGCACAGAGTAAGTTTCCTCTGCTAGTTTAGCTGCAACATTGTTTCCTTTTCTCGGTATACTTTGTATTATGTGCAACATTGTTGAATGAAATTAGATAGTGAGAAACTTGCAGCAGACATCTTCAGCCCCAAATTTGTAGTGACACAGCGTTCAAATCCTGACCTCCTTTGTGGAGTTGCTGTTTGCTTTCATTCTGCGATGGTGCTCTCTCGCATTCTTCGACCTCGTGTTACAGACTACACAATAGAACTTCTACACGTTGTTTAAACTTAGAAATTCCATTGAGTTGAGCTTACAAAACGCTCAATTCACTTGAATATGAGTAGTAGACTTAACTTAAGTAAGAAATTAGTAGTTACTCTTTCAAAAACCTTCAAATTATAGTAAAGTAATGGTTCGACGAACAAGATTCTTTTGTTTAGTCTCGAGACGTTGATTTGTAACAATTCCCCCTCCCTTTCCTCATCCAATCCTACATAATTACCTAATTCCAACTTCAGTCGTTTTTAAAAAATACATTTCCCACCACTATGCCAAGGACAGATCTAGTGATATCCTGTACAGTATTTTGTTGACATGGAATGATGGAATACAGATGATGCCATGTTTAGTTTTTACAATTTAAAACTTAAATAAGACATCATCTAAATGATAAAGTTTCCCCAAAAAGTTTGATTTGAAATGTGTTATTGCCAGATAAGAAATATATTGTCCTGACATTCAGGTTTTTGTAAAGGCTTGTGGTAAATTAACTATTTTGTATTAACTGTTTGATTAGGCAATGTCAGAAAAAAAAGAGGTTACCATGAATGCAATTCAAATGGACTACAGATGTTCTTATAGCCTTTGAAATTCTACCCCTGGAATAACTATTTCAGCTGTCTTGGATCCTGCCATAGCTTCCTGCACTGTGTCAGTGTCAACACGAAGAGGTGTTTGCTCAGTACAGTAGGCCTGCAGTATTTGTCTAGGCAGGTTTTATAACTGACACAGCATTGGAGCAGCATGCCTTTGTGATGTCTCCCCCTCCCCCCTCCCCCCCTTTCCCCCTATTCCTCCTCCTCCTCCCTCCTTCTCTGTTCCATGAATCACATGGCTGAACTTGACAGCTTGCTTCTGACACATCAGCTGCATCCGCTAGACAGCTAGCGTTTTGCACAGGGCTGTTGGAAGGCGGGTGGCAGACAGACAGACAGACAGAGCAGATAGACAGACATGCAGACAGGAAGACAGGGCGTGTTTGGTTGGCATCATAAGGGGAATTTTGACAGACATTCTCTCACACATCCCATTCCTCTCTTCTTCGCACACAGGCATGATGACGTTGTCGGGCAGTGAGACGGACGACGAGGACAGCGTGGACGCCCCCCTGGACCTGTCATCCAGTACGGGAGGTAGCAGTGGGAAGAGGAAGAGGCGCGGGAACCTACCCAAGGAGTCGGTGCAGATCCTCAGGGACTGGCTATATGAGCATCGCTACAATGCCTACCCCTCTGAACAGGAGAAAGCCCTACTCTCCAAGCAGACGCTGCTTTCCACACTACAGGTATGCTAACTAATGATCTGCATCAATTACATAAGGGGCCCTGTTCAAATACTTCAGCAATGCTTCCTTACTGCTTACGTTCCTTGAAGTGATCACAGAGTTGAATTGCTTGCTTTCACATATCTTATCACTTATAGATCTCCTCAAGGAAATTAGGAAGGAAGGATACATTCAAACAGAGGGCCAGAGTGACAGGCCTCTGTTCATAGGTTTACTACCAATGACCTTGTGTTGTAACGTCTTGTCTTGGTTTTATGACACGTACGTAAACAAAGAGAGCATGATTGACATGTGGACAATGAACAGCTAGCAGCAGGGCCTTTCAAGGAAGCTTGATGTTGCAACATTCTGTCTGACGAAACACATCTGAAGTGAAACGACATTGACTGTGTCCCAAATGGCCCCCTATTCCCTATGTAGTGCACTACTTTTGACAAGGGCCCACATGGTTTTTCCCTTAGGGCTCTGGTCAAAAGTAGTGCACTTTATAGGGAATAATAGGGTGCCATTTGGGAAACACTTGGTGACTAGGAGGAACCGAGCACTCTGAAACTTTGACTCGGCTCACTCACTCTGCTGGGTGGTTGGTGTGGGCTTGGCTGTAACAATCACACAGGAATTTCCCTCCCTCCAGCCCTCTTCCAGTCCAGCTGTCTGGGAACAATGCAGAGTCCTTTACATACTAAGAGTTCTAGGCTTTGGTGAGCCATCCATGGCTGACAATTGGCTGGGACAGAGAGGGAGATGAGGGGGTCGGGGGAGGAGAGGGCAATAGAATTGGGAAGGGCAACAAGACCTTACAGCAAACTGGTGTTACATGCCGTGATGGCTTTTCAAAGGCCTAGTTTGAGTTTCTTGATGAGCACAGAAGTAGCACCTTATATTTTCTTACTTGTTTGTTGAATTATGTATTATAAGACGTAAACGTAAGTAAAAAAAATAACATTAGTTTATGTGCAATTAAGTAGTGAACAGTTGCCATAACATTGTCTATAGGTGTGCCAGAATATATACGACCAAGAGCAAGTTGTGGAACAACCATCACATATGCTTGTAGATGTTTCAGATAAGATGCATGTTTTGAATACTACAGAAAAACAGCTGTGTCTCACAATGTCATGTAAATATGTAAACCGGATGTAACCTGTTTTTGTCAACGTGAGATATGAAAGTATAATTTTGTGCTCTCCTTTTTCCCCTTTGTCTTCTTTTTTGAGACAACTTGAAACTATACTATATACTTAAATAAATGTTGTAATTTGCTCTCCTTCAGGTTTGCAACTGGTTCATCAACGCACGTCGGCGGCTCCTCCCGGAGATGCTGCGGAAAGACGGTAAAGACCCCAACCAGTTCACCTTCTCCCGGAAAGGCAGCAAGGGAGGCGACGGGGGCTTCTCTGACTCCAGCTCTCAGTCACCCAAGCACGCCACAGCCGCCACGGGCCCCGAGGACGGCTACGACCAGCGGGCGCTGCACCCCTCCAGCTTCGAGGCAGGTCTCCCCAGCCCCAGCGTTCTGCAGAAGGCCATATCGTCCCCTAAAATGTCCCCCTCCTCCTCCCCGGGGCCCACCACCACTGTGGCTCACCGGCCCTCTGTCATCTGTCACACCACTGTTACCACCATGGCCATGCAGAAACAGGGCTCCAGCCCCCCTTCCTACCTCTCCTGCTTCCTCTCCAGCATGAACACAGATGGCAGTAGGGCCGCAGAGCTGCTGCATTCCACCAGAGAGGCTCTGGGGCTTTTCAGATGTCGGGAGGAAGGGTTGGGCCTGGGCGCCCCGGCAGTGACCACCACCCCACCCCCCACACCACCATGGAGGGTAACCTGAGCCCCCAGAGTGGGCTCTTCAACACCCCTCCCCCCACCCCCCCAGACCTCACACAGGACTTCAGTGGCTTCCAGCTCTTAGTGGATGTGGCCCTCAAGCGGGCGGCAGAGATGGAGCTGCAGGCTAAACAACTGGTGTCTTAGAGAGAGGGAGGGCTAAAAGGGAGGGAAAGAAAGATGACAACCCAGTTGTTGTTGTCCCTAAATGAACTCCTCACATGAATTCAGTGACTTCAGTGACTGCGCAACAAAGAACAAACACAACAAGCCTGATAACTTCTATTTTTGGTGTACAAAACTGTATCAAGGTGCCTTGGCTGTTAGTTCTTTTTTTATTTTGTCATATACGTGTATGTATGTATGTATGTATCTATGTGTATCTTTTTTGCACACGGGACCAAAAAGAAAAAAAAAAGCGCTGCCTGTCTTAACTTTTCCTATGTATTTTACTAGAGCAAGGCATGAGGGTATACAAGTGTTCTGAGGGGGAGGGTGGTTCTCCTCTCCTCCATTATGGGGTACGTAGTTTCACAGACCTATCCCCCATGCGATATGTAGTTTCCAGATGTTTTACATTTCAGAGATCAGTTTGCGATGGTTTCCACTCAGCCTTTTGCACAATAGGGCAGAGTTAGGGTCCTTATCTCTCATGTCAGTGTCTTAAAACATACTTTGCTCTTGGGATCTATGATGAACTTTATCACTACTGTAGAAAGTCTTCTGTGTTTTTTCATGATAAAGAGTATAGTGTTTTTTTATATTTTTTTTATACCTTTCCTTTGATATTTTATAAGAAAGTAAACCTCTCGTCTTGGTTTTGATTAAGCGTTTTCCTATACCAAGGGATCATTCAGATGAACAATGTAGCAGGTTCCTAGTCTGAGCCTTCCTCCCCTCCTCGCTTAGTGGGGTACAGCCCAAGTGGCACCCTATTCCATATATAGTGCACAAAAATAGTGCACTATATAGGGAATAGGGTGCCAATTGGGGCGCAAACCCGAGTAGCGATGGCCAGTTAACTGGAAGAACAACACTAAGATTTGTTTTGCATTTGTGAAGTCACCAGCAGCGGAAAAAAAGATAGCATTTTCTAAATCACCAAAAAGCATTTCATGTACAAAAAAGGACCATGTTTGTGTATAGCAATTGTGACATGACGGCCAATGATGTGATTTCCTTTCATACTGTGCAATGTTTGTGGCAAATAGGGGTCACATATGGGATTTAAATAAATAGTTGTTTTCTACAACTCTTGCCGTTTCACTGTTGGAACACCAGATCACATATTGACTACATCTAAGGACCAAGAATCTTTTAAGGCGATTGCCCACTAGAATCACGTAACAGCAGTAGCACAGAATGTAGAGTGACATGAGCTCCATCAATCATACATTGACACTACATGAAGAAAAAAGGTAGCGAGAGGAGAGAAATAGCACTTTGATGTGTGTGCATGTGCCTGTGTTTCTACATGCAGTCTGCCTCTGTCTCATGAGTCATTCTATCCTGAGACATTCCTATGTGTGCGTGTGCTAGGTTCATCAGAGCGCCAAAACTTTAGCATAATCCTGTATAAATTAGCGCGGGCTAACAGCAGACGTCAACGGTTTCCTGCCAGGCAGGGGTTTTATGTGTGGATGTGTCAATACATTCACGGAAAATGAATACAAAGGTTTTAGTAAAACTTGACACTCAGTCATAACCATGTCATAACCTGTCATATGGTCATAACACTGTCATGATCCATATATTTACACCTGTTGTGACATATTGTGTTATCTTATTGGCTGGTTATGACACCTACATAAGTGTTGGAAGTCAAACCCACATTTATTCAAATTAATTTTTTCCCTGCCAAGAACTTTCCTTTCATTTGAAAGTTTGTTTCTTAAATCCTTTGTTGTAATGAATTCTTTACAGTCATGTATTTTTCATCATATTTTAAATAACTTGGAGAAAATACACTTTACGCCTCCCGAGTGGCACAGCGGTCTATAGCACTGCATCGCAGTGCTAGAGGCGTCACTATAGATCCGGGTGAATGTGTGCCCCTGTGTGTGTGTGCAGGTGTGTTTGCACGTGCGCTTTCATGCCTGTGTGTACATGTTGCCGGCTGTGAGGGCAGCCAGTTTGAGTTTCCTCCGACACATTGGTGCGGCTGGCTTCCGGGTTAAGCGAGCAGTGTGTCAAGAAGCAGTGTCGGCTTGGCGGGTCGTTTTTCAGGGGGCGCATGGCTCTCGACCTTCGCCTCTCCCAAGTCTGTACGGGAGTTGCAGCGATGGGACAAGACTGTAACTACCAATTGGGGAGAAAAAGGGGTAAAAAGTACCAAAATAATGTATAGTAAAAAATAAAATACACTTTATGACACTGTCATGAAGCATTATGACCATCCGGTGTCACTTTACATGGACTAAGAAAATACACTTTATGTCACTGTCATGAAGCATTATGACCATCCGGTGTCACTTTACATGGACTAAGAAAATACACTTTATGTCACTGTCAAGAAGTATTACGACCATCATAATCATAAGCCACATAGGCCTATCACCTACATTCCCTTATATCAGTCAAAAAGAAGGTGTCTTGTCCTGCTCCTGAAATCTGCTCTTGCATTCATCCCAGTCATCAGCAACAGAGCATTACGGTAGGTGCATGTCTTACATCAATGTGTGCGCAATTACAATGATAATTTAACATGGTCAATTAAAAAAGATATACTGTATATGTAACTTAAACATACTGTTGACACGTAGGCTATGGTGTAATGAAATATTTTGCCTTTTTGACACTCTTATGTAGGTGTCACAACATGTCTAAATATGTGTCATGACAGTGTTATGACCATATCACATGGTTATGACGCTGGGTGTTGGACTGGTTCAGGTAGTCCTACATACCCCATAACGAGTCCATTCTATTTTGTTTGGTAGCTAGTCAATACGACCCAGATTAAGACCATGTGGATCTTGGATATTTGTGTTCTTTCGAGGCTACATAGACAGCTGTTGCCTGTGTCGCAAGTACAATCCTAAAGGATTCAAATGACCCTTCTAAGACTGGTTTGCTACTCTGACGAAGGCAAACCGATCACCACCGCATGCATACCTTTGTTCTGGTGGTTTGGAAATGCTGCACCAGCCTGTTATAGTATAGATGGGTTGGTTGTTCAACAACAACGGACATGTGCGCAACTATGGGGTAAAACAGACAGGGTTGGCTTAAACTGTTGACAGCATGTAAACTATATTTAGTCTCCAAATGTTTATTGAAAACATCAATACATTTGCACAATGAGCACTTGTCTCTCAAATACATTGTTACAGTTGTTGGTTTGCTAGCTACTGAATTTGAGCCATATTAGCATAGACATGACATCAGTCAAAACACCTCAAAATAAGACATGGTATCAACAACAAGACACAATGAGCTGAAACGAGCCACCTACGATTCCCCACATGGCAGCTTCTTGTCATTGTTGCTAGCTATCTGACCGTTCACAAGCATATCAAAGCAAGCCTTCCCGACACTGATGCGCACACATAATTTTAATGATGTTGTCAGCCAACCCGTCTATTAACCCACTTTCTTTACTACAAAAAACTGAGTATAAAAACAGATGCCTCTTGTCAATTGTCAGAATATTGTCTTCTGATCTGCATTGTTCTGATAATAAATCATTGGTGATCTGAGGCATATGTATAGAACGCACACAGCCTAATTTACCTTTCCCACTGCATCCCAGCTGCATGTCAGATCAGCAGTGACATACCGACGGCGGTGGTCCGATAAACTCGCACCATGGAGCACATCACTAATCAGGGTCGTCACCTCCAGAAACAGGATAGATAGTGCTGCTGTGGAGAGGTGCTCCGTGAACTTGTCTAATCAGAATACAGATTTCCTGGATTGCTTTGCAAAACGTTTCGCTACGGAGTGGACTAGTAAACAAGACCCTGATGGAGAGACCCAGGGATGAAGAGGAGGGTGAAATCCATGGCTCCCCTTTTGGGCTCTGGACACTGAGGTCAGCATGTTGAATGTGAGCTTGATTGATGTGGGAGTGACAAAATCACCATACACACCGTCTGTGTCCCAAATACCATCTTATTCCCTATGGGCCCTGTTCAAAAGTAGTGCACTATAAAGGGAATAGGGTTCCATTTCTGCCTCCAGGTGCAGTACAGACCAGTATCCCTTCTTTCTTTTCTCTCCAAAACTATTGAGCGTGCCGTCTTTAGCCAACTCTCTTGCTATTTCTCTCAGAATGACCTTTGATCCAAACCAGTCAGGTTTCAAGACTGGTCATTCAACTGAGACTGCTCTTCTCTGTGTCACGGAGGCTCTCCGCACTGCTAAAGCTAACTCTCTCTCCTCTGCTCTTGTCCTTCTAGACCTGTCTGCTGCCTTTGATACTGTGAACCATCAGATCCTCCTCTCCACCCTCTCCGAGCTGGGCATCTCCGGCACGGCTCACTCTTGGATTGCGTCTTACCTGACCGGTCGCTCCTACCAAGTGGCGTGGCGAGAAGCTGTCTCCGCACCACGTGCTCTCACCACTGGTGTCCCCCAGGGCTCAGTTCTAGGCCCTCTCCTATTCTCGCTATACACCAAGTCACTTGGCTCTGTCATATCCTCACATGGCCTCTCCTATCATTGCTATCTCAGACGACACACAACTAATCTTCTCCTTTCCCCCTTCTGATAACCAGGTGGCGAATCGCATCTCTGCATGTCTGGCAGACATATCAGTATGGATGACGGATCACCACCTCAAGCTGAACCTTGGCAAGACGGAGCTGCTCTTCCTCCCGGGGAAGGACTGCCCGTTCCATGATCTCGCCATCACGGTTGACTACTCCGTTGTGTCCTCCTCCCAGAGTGCGAAGAGCCTTGGCGTGACCCTGGACAACACCCTGTCGTTCTCCGCTAACATCAAGGCGGTGACCCGATCCTGTAGGTTCATGATCTACAACATTCGGAGAGTACGACCCTGCCTTACACAGGAAGCGGCACAGGTCCTAATCCAGGCACTTGTCATCTCCCGTCTGGATTACTGCAACTCGCTGTTGGCTGGGCTCCCTGCCTGTGCCATTAAACCCCTACAACTCATCCATAATGCCGCAGCCCGTCTGGTG